TCGGTGTTGCGCCCGCACCTCACTCAGCCAGTGAGCGGGAACTGGTCTGTATGTGGGATCTGAACCCTCGGCGGGAGCGCCGCCGCACTCCCAAGTGGCGCACTGTAGCAGTGCGCCACCGGGCTGGCCCCGACTTAATTTTGATGCCAAAAAAACCCCCCCAAAACAAGAAAAACTGCAGTCTATGCATAGTTTTCTGGGGTTTTTTTTTTTTTTGGTAGCTGGCAAATGACAGGGATCAACATGGTTTTTTCATGATATACTGTTTCCATGAATTTAAAGAACATTTGCATGTGCATATGGACGCACCCAAGCATAACAGATTTTTTGTTTAGATTTCCACAAATTAAGGACCCCATGCTGGTTAGATCAGTTGGTTACAGCATGCCTGGTAACACCAAGGTCAAGGGTTCAATTCCCCTTGCTGGCCAGCTGCCCGCCCCCCCAAAAGACCTTATGCTACAGGGTCAGCCTACCAACTTCAATAGTGCACCAGATTCCATCTCAAACTCTTTGAATTTGAGTAAGCAGAGTTCAGGATCGCAGATTAAGGGCCAAGAAATTTGGCTTCTTTGTACCTACTTGTTCTTGTAATCATTGTAAACTAGGAAAGAGTTCAAGTTTTACTAGAAACCTTTAATTTTCTACAAACCTTTACCTGTGTTTTATATCCACTTTAATTAAAAAGCTCTTGCAGATTATACTAATCTACTGAAGGTGACTCAGCTTGTTGAGAAGTAATTAACCAAATAGCTGAGCAAGAAACCCGGGGTAGTGAAAAGGTCAAGTCAGAGTAAGAAAGACAGCTTCCAGCTAACATTCACCTCTCCTGCTAGATGAAGAGGCACAGTTGTGAAATCTTACCTTGGGACTCACTTTTATTTTACCATTGGTCACATTTTAATTAATGCTTGTCAATTCATGGACCTAAGATAACAATATAGAGTAGTCCTAAATTTTGCTAAATTTGGAAATTTCCTGGGCCCCAAATGATTTGCAGGGAGACTAAGAAGCTAGAATGGGAATGTAGAAAGCACCAACTTGGTCTAAAATTAGTTTCTTAATCCACAAGCAGCATCCTTATTCCAGCCCCTAAAGCCAAAGCAACATGTTTGGGCTGGCTGCCTATCAACAGCGTTACCCTCCCCCTTCCCCACTATCTCCCGACCAACAAGTCATCTTTGGTCACAAACTCCCTTTAATACTCCAATTGAACTTAAGTTTAGTCAGCTTTTCGGTCCAAAAAAGTTAGGAAGGGTAAAGGGAATCGGTAACTGCCACAACTGACACACTTTTGTAGCCCCAGAACTTCAATTTTCAGCTGGGCCTGGGTGATCAAAAACACCACCTCTGCAAGAGTACCCTTTCTCAGCAATTTGTGCCCATCGTCACCTCTACTCCGGTATTCTAAAGACTACTGTCGAGGAAAGCCATTAGTTCAAGTAAAGCGTGACGAACGTAGAAGACAGTGACCACCACAAACGAAACAGACGATAGCCGGACTAGTTCAACAGGCGAAAGCTCCGCCCTGCTTCCTTCACAGTCCTCAGCCCCACCCTCTCAACCGGAACTACGTCCCCCGCGCTGCGCGCCCCCACGCACAGCGTGACGTGTGCGCCCGAGGCGGTTCGCGCCTGCCCCGCCTCTCGGGACGCGCAAGACGGGCGTAGGGAGCGCGCATGCTCGGCAGGTGGGGCTGCTGGGGTCTCGTGGTGTTGGAAGCTGTTGCGCTGTAGCCCGTGGGATCCGGTAGATCCGGGTCTCGTGGTTAAGAGTGACGTGGTCAATCGAATGAAAACAGAGTAAGGGGAAGAAGCCGGCCGCCAGGAGCAGCAGCGATAGCGGCGTCCTGAGTAGCTGCAGCGTTCCGGAAGCTCCAGGCGGTTTTTCTGCCGAGCCTGGGTCCTGGCTCCCACCCTCCCCGCCCCGCCGGTTGTTGTCTGGGCGGGTGAGTGTCTGTCTCCCCTTCTTCCTCCGCCGTTTGCTGGCCCACCTTCTCCTCAGCCCGGTTTTTTGTGGGGGCTCTTCACGCTCTCGGGGACTGCAGTGGCTGAGGCAGAGCAGGGTTGCTTTTCGGGCTCGGTGGTTCCCCGGCCGGGCTGGAGAGCTGCAGCCGGAGAAAGGCGCTGCTGCCGAGCCCACGCCCCTGGGCGAAGACTTAGGCAGAGAACCTGCAATTTGGCTTTCTCTTCAGGAAGCCGGAGTCGGGCTTGGCAGGGAAGCGGACGGTAGCCACGGGTGGTTTTATTTTTAGGACCGGATAGTCAACACGGGTGAGGGCGTATAATGGAGTAAAAAGAAGAGGGAGAGTCGTAGCTGGAAGGAAAAACTCATTAATCCTGAGATCCACACTCTATCGTTTACCCGTCTTTCTCAACCCTTTCTGGGTATGGTTAAGTCACTAGGATGCGTCTTTTGTTGTGACTGGCGAGACAGGAAGGCTGCCGCCCTGAAAACGAGAGTATTTTAGCACCTATTGTGTTTCGAGTTTAAAGGATTCCCTTTTTTTGTTTGTTCTGTATGTGAAACCAGGGCTGACAGTGAAGAGATGGCCCCCCTTTGTTGGAACAAATAGTGTGCGATGGACTGGTTACTGGTAGTGCCTGAAGTCCCATATTTCTGTTTAAAGCCAAAGTTTTCCACAGTGACTCCTTATATGTGGTAGGATTTTAGCCGAAATGATATTTGTTAGCTGTAGAGAGAGTTGGTAAGATGTTGTCAGTTGCCCCAGTTGGCAAAATCGAGAATATGGCCTTAATAGAATGTCTTAGTTTTGCATCCAGAGAGTCGAATGAGCTGCACGCACATAGTAACTACATTTGTAGAAGAGACCTTCCAGTTTTTGTATTTTATGGCCAGACACCTTTGGCAGCTATGCATACAATAACTTGGAAAGTGTAAGACCTTCCCAGTGTTTTAGTCTTGATATCCTTAGGAGACATCCTCGTTGCCCAGTGCTGTGGAGGCTGCAGAAAGCTTGTGTTCCCTTTCACTTCAGGTGACAGACACGGAGATTCCTGTAGTGTAGCCTACTCCGATCCTGCCACC